ATGTGTCCTAGCGTCTGTAAAAAACTGTAACAGAGGCTACGTCACCTCATCTAATGATGTGATCACAGAGCTGAACTGCAGCATTGCTACAGTTTGCTTTGCTATATTTGTCCTCTGAATCCACTTTATGACTTCAGATGTAATTTCACTTATTAAAACAAAGAAATATTTAAGCTGAGCAACGTACATGACAGAAGGATGAGATTCAGTGTCAGTGCCACCTCTCAGACATTTAGCACACGCTTATTTCCTTCATTTATTGTGATGACAAAACAAATAGTTGTGTTTCTAACAGCTGGTTATAAAATCGGACGTTCTCGGTGTCAGGTGGCTTTTGATGAACACAACAGAAGGAAAATGAAGGAGCTGTCTTCGCTTTCTGCTGGAGTGTGCGTCAGAGTGTGTTAACCACAGTCGCTGCCACCTCCCCGGTGTTCACAAATAAACATAATAGCTGCGTTTTGTCGTCACTCGGTTCACGCTAAAACCGCTCTGCTCTCTCTTGTTTCTGGCTGTTTCGTTCCCAAAAGGCTGAAAAGTCCACGCTGTGCGTTTGAAGCGTCCCACACTCTGTAATGTCCTCGCCAGCGTTTCTGCCATAAAACCACTTCCTGCTCAGAACGAAGATCTGACCTCCCAACACCATAATTAATCTTATTTCAGTTACAGAAACTTTCAGTACTTATCTGTGAAACACTAATAACTGTTACTGTTACATTTGTGACTGCATGTGATTTAAGTTTATTCACAGCTTTACATTTAACATCTTCAGGTTTTGTCATTTTACTGATGTTCCTTGTAAATAGAGCAGATATTTCCCCACGGCGCGGCGCCCTGCAGCAGGACGGCTGCGTTACATCATCGTTACTTCCTGATGTTTCAGTGAAATGAAACTGAAATGTTTTATTGTGATTCTGGAAAAGTAAAGTTCCAAATGTTTCATCAATAAACTCAGTTTTTTATCACAATGAAGAAGGAACGCCTCCTTAATGAAGATGTTATTATTTATTATTATTTATTGCGATCAGATATAGAAAAGACTGAGAACAGCAGAAGAACCTGTGTGGCTCAAACTGGCACGATGTTTAAATCCCATCAGCTCCTGAGTCGACAGTTTGTGCAGTCAACAAATGAAGAGCCGACATCCTTACACGGACCGGAACCACCTACCGCCATTTCTCCGGTTTCTGATG